GAATTTGCAATGGAGAAACTAATTTATTATTAGAAAAATATCGTTGTGTTTAGCTAGTAGTGGCCAGTTCGTCAGAGGAGAGTCGGGAGTTTATTTTTGCTTCGAGAGCAAAAAAAGGTCATGAACGTGAGGCTGAAGGGAAAATATTGATATGTTCATTTTTTATATAGCAAGGCTCCAACTACACACGGCTAATCGGCAAGTTGGCGCCCTTGATCATATATTTATTATACAGGTGTCTCAAAATACTGTGGCAAGAAGATTCTCGAAAAATTAAATAAAAAAGTTATTTATAAATTTTTATTTTAAACAACAATTATTTAGATAATAGAGACTTAAATGTAGTTACAGATTATGTATAAATGGCCATCTAACCATGAGTCGCATATGATAGATAGAGTGCAGCTTTAGTATGCTCATTAAATAGTCACTATACAAGTGATTAAATATAGTAAGATAAATGTAGATAATAGGCTATTCTTTAAATCTGAATCAGTATGGATAGTCTCTAATTATTCAGGCATACTTGGCATTGATATTATTGATTATCCACTGATTCAGATTTAGAGAGTACATTTAACTATTATCTTTTAGAAACTATTTAGAATAAAAATAAAAATACAAATTTTAAAACAAAAATTTATAACTTAAAAATAAAAATTTACAAATAACTTCTTTACAAAATTGTTCGAAAATTTTCTTGCTGTAGTATTTCGAGTTGCGAATTTTAGGGCACCTAAATGTATATTTAGTTGAAGATCACATCAGAACTTTTAACTTTTATGTGAATAATGCGTACGGACTGTGCCTTTGTATGAATAATTCCGCGGTTTACGCCAGGCGGACAGAAAGCGTTTTACTCACACGCGAGTTACAAAACGGATCCGATTTTTTTTATTCTACCTCGAGAATATCTTGTCTAACGCGGACGCTGCGAGATAAATTTCCCACTCGCGACATGATTTATAGAAACTCAATGACAATGCGGGATGTAGGTATCTGCGCGAATTATACAGATGTAGGTTACACCATTAAAAATTAATTGTAGAAAGGAAATAATAATCTGTTCTGTTACGCAGTTACGATTCTTGCAAATCAATTCTCTGCAACTAGCTTATTAATTGTTCTGCAACTAATTTATCAGATACTTAATTGTAAACACTGTGTGCCTACTCTATATGTAATGCATAAAAGCGGAAGGAGAAGAGAAATATTCAGGTACAAGAAAATATTAAAAAATTTAATTAAATACATAGATCTCTGGAATTAATTTTATTGGACCATCAAAATAATTATATAGGACGCTCATGATTGCGAGAATATCAAAACTTTTTGCAGCGTTATTCATCTTTCGAGCGACCTACATAATTATTTTGATGGTCCAATAAAATTATTTTCAGATTTATCTGTGCAGCTTTTAGATATTTCAGCAAAACCATTTTTCCCACGATACAGACAGTTTGCATTAAAAATTTAATATTTGAAAAAAGTTTTATAATCTACTCTCTAAAAGTGAATCAGTGTATTTTATATTACTGACTTTAGTGCTACATTTGTAATCGATGTAATTATTAACAAATATTGAAATGTCTTTAATCTGCAAAAAAATCATCTCTAAATGTGAACTGATGTATTATTACTGAAAAACAGTAAATCGTTGATTACATTAGTTATAAGTGTAGCAATAAAGTCACTGATTCACTTTTAGAAAATATGTATGTAATTATAAGATATTCTTTTAAAATTTTATAATTTACATATACAATCATAAGATAAAATTAAACATCATGTTGAGACGAACAGATGATTTATTTGCACGATGTCATTTCATTGCGACGTGATAGGTATATGTAACGAAGTATGTATCTAATCTTTGCGCTTTTATAAATATATCGATCAGATATAAAGACATTCCAATCGGAGAAACAATGCTCACGTACTAAACAAAATGTGTTAAAGAATTCAATTTTCACTGCGTGATTTCTATGTGATATAGAGAAGACATATAATGCGAGGAAACGACCACTCTGGCATTACGCGAATTTTCAGCACTCTACTAATTCGGTCGATTCATCATTGCCTACACATGGAATCGTATAGTTTCGTATCTCATTTGGTCGGTTAACAGATTTAACACTCATCTTAATTATCATCTTCTCAAACATTTGTTTCAATTTGGTAATTTGATAACGTTTTATCTCTGATTTACTAATTTATGCAAACAATTCGTAATACACGAATAATTCACACGAATTATATTCAATATTACACACTTCTACACGTTTGTCTTGTTTAATAATTAATCCAAATATTTTATCCCTAAAAAAATCCTAAAAGAAAGAGTTCAAAAGAAGCGAATTTTTTTTTGTTCTTATCTATCAGATATCTATAGATTCTTACCTATCACGGATATCCGACAAATTCATCGATACATAAAAACATATATGATATGGGGCATAAGATAACTCCGATATATACGCCGCACCTATCAAAAACTTAATTTATTAAGTATATTTACTATGTAAAGTATATTTACTATATTAAAGTAAATGAATTATATCAGTAAAAATTTTGTACTGTTTATTACTATGAAAAAAAAAAAAAAAAAATAGAAATCCGAAATATTTATTTTTCGTGTTAAAAAATGAACTTTTTGAAACCCTTGCATTTTTATCATATATCTTATAGGGGTGGGATATATGACTACTCATAGAGAGAGAGGGGGAATATGTATGGTTCATGAAAAATTTACAAATAATGCATATAAATAAGACGTAAAATGACACAATAACTTATAAATTGTGTTTAAAATTTTATTAAGGAATAAGAATGATAAATATGTAGATATATGTAGTAATAAATAATAATTACAATCTTCCTATATATATTACAAGTGTTATGACATGAGGTACATATTTCATATAATGCGTTTATTGAATTTAGTACACTGAATACAATCTGCGCACTTTGTACGCTTTGGGCATAAATCCTGCCCGCTAAAAATGTCATATATTCTAAACAGGGATATACAATACAACAAACTAAACAAAGAATACGCAAGCAAAGCACTTGTATTTTGCTTTACTATTCCTCTTCACGTATGTATCACGAAATAATCACTAAATCTTTTACACGGCCTTTTACAGTAGTCATTTTATGTAGATTATAATTTATGATGGCGCTACTTATTACAGACAAATCAATTCAATTCACAATAATTTCATTAATATTAACAATAAAAAGCTGAAATTATAACACAATACTAATATAACATAAAGGCATGTAACAGAGTAGTTGCGGAATTATTCCCTCTCCTATTTTTTCTGACTTCTGCGGCGTAAATCCCAGCGCGACGTATTTACCGGAGTTACCTTATACAAACAACTCTCAACAATGATAAGAAATTACCGGTTTCATTTCCTTTTCTCGAAGTATAGTGGTCTCTTCTGTCGCATTTTATAGTAGGTTTTCGATTTTTTTCACCGACCGAAAAATTTTGTCACATACGCACGAAACTCGCGTCGCCGAGACGGTGTAACGAACCGTAACCGCAGTCGCGAGCGTGCCTCTCGTTCTTAACTTTGAGTCCGGCCAGTTAGACAGTCTGCCAGTCAGTCGTCCATTTCTTTCCGTAATGTCATCGCTCTTAGGAAATCGCTCGAAAGGAAAGTCAACCGGTTTAGGCACGCGCCGGGATAACGACGCATCGCGACGTCTTCTTGGACACATTATGTCATGCGGTTTGTTTGCTCTTTTTCGCCCACGGCTCTTTTCATCGCGACCATGGATCCGCGCCGATCCTACCAAAAACACCGTTTTACTCTTAACTCAGTGAGATCACGACGGACGGATCGTTTGCTCTTCTCTTCTTCGATGGAGAAAACGAAAAGGCTAGGCTAGGCACCTGCCAGTGACTCAAGCGAAGCGAAAGCTTTTACGACCCGCTATTTTGTAGGTCTTTACGGGATTTCTCCGACGGTATGGATAAATTATTAGTTGAAGCAATTAACATCGCTATATCAATGCGTGAAGCGGTGCACTGTGTGCAATACGCGAAACAAATAAAACTGCAAGGACATTAGCAGCTTTGCTCAAAGTTGTTAGCTTTATATCTTACTGAATTTTATTTCTAAATAAATATGATTTATAATTTAACATTGTTAATCTTCAGTTTATCTTTTAATTTATTTATACAACTATCCTTTTAAAAAAAATTACATTTAAAATTATTTTTACCGTGAATTTCATTTCATTAATTCACAATACCTGCCTGATTGTAACGAAAAAATCAATTTATTAAATATAGATCTAAGTAAATATTTACTAAATATAAACATATATTTCATACAAAAATCATTAATTTAATTTAATTATATTATATTTAATTATTAATATAACATTTTTTTAGTAAATATTTATTTACTATAAATATTTCGTTAGTATAATACTATAAAAATAAATATTAAGATTTAGTAAATAGTTTTTCAATGTGCCACGTAATCCTACTAAATGTAATATGTTGAGATTCATGCTTACCTAAAATTAAATTTGCCTATCTTTCTTGGTTTATCGTATTGATTGCAAGATTGTTGAATATTCTATTATCGGAATGGTTATATGATGTCGCTGGACTGATGATGTCACGCGACGGTGACGTAAGACACAAACAGCCAACACCATACATAAAACGCGACTATAAAGCGCTGAAATATTAACGTAGCGACCGAGCCACTAATCTTCTCATACTCGAGGTGCCAGAGCTCTCATTTCCCTCTTGATAGACGAGCGCAATTCAAGTATGATTCGTGGATCACTTAAGTCGAGTCTTCTAATTCTTTAAGGCCGATACTACTGCGCCTAACGACCAAATCGTCGGAACGAACCGTAATATTCGTGATGATTAATGGGAAAGAGAGGAGATTTCTTTTCAAAAGTTAGATAATAAGCTGCACTGAGAAATGCATTTTATAACTATTAATATAATTTGTTATGTACCTCTTTCATAATCATTGTATTTTATACGTACAGTATAATTTTCATTAAAAAACTGCATTCTTAAAGTAAATATCTGCAACAGATCACCTCACCTTTCGTTAATTATTGTAAGGTTATTCCTGATACAGCGCTCTCTCGGCGCTCGTGTGTGTTCCGCATAATCAATTTCCGATGAGTTCGGTAATGATCCGGCGGTTGAAGTGTTGGCCTGAAAATGTTAGAATAATTGGCGCTTAATTGGAAACACGATACCGATACCGTTCGGTGTATTAGCTTCGTCTGCGGGACATGCGGTAACTTCAGGGAAATTACTGCGTTGTAGGATTATACGAAATAGTATGTGTATGATTCCGACATTGGAAATCGGTCCCTTTGATAAAATAGTTTACTTAAGTCGATTTCGCATGTCAATTTCGACATCAAATAATTGTAGTGTACCTCTTACAAAAATTTAATTATTAGCCAATTCAATACTGAAAGACAATAATTAAATTACTTATTTTAAATATTAAAAGCACTACCGTTTAGTACTTGTGATATTCCAATTAAATAATCAATTACTGCCTTGTAGTATTAAATTGACTAATATTAGATTTCTGTAAAAATATGATCGCTACATATAGTATGTACGTATTTATATATGCCGTATAAATAAAATTATCTCATATAAAGCAATTGATGAAACTCGTACAATTGAAAAAAAATCGATACATATATTATTATGAAACTATTCGAAATGAATTTCGATTGGAATTATTCCATTTTCCTTCCTTAAAAAATACAATAGAAATCTGGGGAATAATTGAATAATTCCGATCAGAATCCAATTCGAACAGTTCCATAATAAGATAAATTTTAAAATAAATTGGCTCAAAAATAAATAAAGCTATTGGACCTTATATTTTCATTACACCTGATATTTCACGAAACGTGACTATAACAAAATGCAATAAATCTAACGCAGACGTTAGAATTCGTTATTTCTATTGCGACTTTTAGGATTATAAAAAGATATCACGACTCTGTTATACGCGCACGCGACGTAACGATCGCTCTTTATTTGACTCGGAATATTTTTTTCGGTGAATTTCGAAGAATTCGATATTGTACCTATAGTAGAAATAAAATTGCTGCAAAAAGAGGGGAAAATCCTTACACCTTATCAGAACTGACCTTATCAGACTGACGAAAATAAAAACTGAAACATAAGTCGAATGTAAGGAAAAAGTAATAAAAGTATAAATGATACTTCTAGGAGGCAAAAACGAAAATTAAGACAATGAAACGTAAAAATAGCCTAAATATCTCTTTTATATTTCATTGTTTCTATCTTTGTTTCCTAGAAGCTTTGTTTACACTAATTATGTCACTTTTCCCTTATATTCGACTTACATTCCCATTTTTTTCATAGTCAATTAAAACGACGATTATTCAGCATCGGCTTAATGTCGTGCGTCTAATCACACTCTTTTCTCTTCTATAATAGTTTCATAATAAAGACAAATAAAGATTTACCGTTAAAAATTGCTACAGACCGTAATTTTTAACTGATAGAGACAATTTTTTTAAATTAATCGTTAATTCATTTTTTAAAAAACTATGGAGTTGGATTTAAAAAAAAATGCCCTCTGAAATCAAAACATGAATTTCTTTTAAAGTAGGTGAAATCTTACACTGAAAAAAATTTATTAATAATCCGACTTCATAGTTTTTTTTGAAATTTATTAATGATTAATTTGAACAAAATTTTATCTTGATTGATGTTTTATTTGTCTCCAGTGTTGGTCTCTTCTAATGGTGCCTTTTTTTTAAAGTGAGTGACACTCACAGTTTGCATCCAATTGAGTAAAATGTAAACTAAAAGAGAAATCCTGTAATAACATGACATATATAGTATATATATAAATATTGCACTTATATCGTCGTAGGATATACATATATGTGTGTGTGTGTGTGTGTGTTTGTGTGTGTGTGTGTGTGTGTGTGTAAAATTCTGCTTAATAATTTCGCTTCCGTTTTTATTTTATAATGTCATTAGATGCACTTACTTTCATTAAAACTATAAAAATTTGTCAATTTATCACAACTGAATGCTTCCGTTGACCATATTTTAAAAAATAGATAACAAATTCGTTTATGTGTGTTATTTATTCTCATGTTCTATTTTTTTTTTATTTTTAATATAAAGAAAGATTACTAATTTAAATTTTCTAAAAACTGTTTATTGTTTACCATTTACTGTTAACTCGTTTTTTTGAAAAATGTATGATTTAATTTCAATAACATTGAATATGAAATAAAGGAAGATCAACCATAAATTTATCATCTCAAAGTATATTTGTAAGTGCTGACTCATATCTCCGCATGCTTTCGCTGTCATTGAGACACTATGAGACACGGGCAACGATTCGAGACGTCGTTGTATTTCAATTGTATGTCACGCAAATAGACACAGATGTAAATTTCGCCGCTTGGACGTTAGTTATGCGCCTATACAGAGTGAGTCAGATTTGTCGCTTCTCTGCTGGTATCGCAAAAAGTCAAAAAGATTATTCACTATATAGTTACAATATTAATAAATTTTTTATTTCTTATAAATGTTTTGTTTTTTACAATCTGTGCAGTGCGTCTCTCATTTGTTGTTGCTGGTAATTTTGTCAAGGTATATTTTGTAGGTTTTGGCTGCGAGTCATGCGATAATTCAAGAATAGTCACGTAGAATACTACATAGAAAGAAAGATTTTTGCTGAAGTATCTAAAAATTTAACTAAATACAAATCTGAAAATAATTTTGTCGGCCTATCAAAATATTTATATAGGATGTTCAAATTTGTTGGAATGTCAAAATTTTTTGCAACATTCAGCATGCTTGAGATTCCTAATTATTCGTAATTATTTTGATGGTATAACAAAATTATTTTCAGACCTAGTATCTAGTCAAATTTTTAGATGTATGTCAAGTTTTTAAATACTTTAGCAAAATCGATTTTTCTGTCTAAATTAAACGGAATCATTTTCCATTCGATAGCTTTTCCCCAACTCGATGTATCTCAATAATCGAAGCTTTCACTCTCGTTCGTGAAACTGTGAAATAAAGCCGTGACGCGAATGGCGTTGGGAATTTGTCGCTTGAATGTTGGACAATGGACTATTAGAGCAGTTTTGGAGTAAGGTACGGTTACTCCATGTAAAGAGGGCGTGAAGTGGTGATGAGGATGGTGGTGAGGGTGGTTGAGAAGGCACTTGGTATTTACCCTTGCCAGTCCACATTCGTCGCTCCTTTTCTGCAGCTGTTTATCTCATCGAGAGGAGAAAAAAGAGGCAGTCACTTTGAAGACCGACGAATTTCTTTGTACATCATCCCGCGGAAACGTCTGCATATTATTGCGAGATTTCCGGCTTAAACTCGTCCCTACAGAAGGTTGACAATAAGAGTTGTACGACACACCTCGCGATTTTTGCTGAAGATCTTGAACAATGTTTTTAGATCAGGGATGCATATTTATTAGTTTGTGCATAAATCATAACAAGAAAATAATAGATATATTAATTATTTTCTAATAGAGCAAATATATAATAAGTAAACACAAAAAGTTGCATTTGTTATTGTAAGCTTAGATAGTGATTAAGAAATGAACAAACAAATTTGATAATCAAAATGTTACGATGACAAATCTTTTATACAAGTAATTTTTAATGTCATTATTTACGAAGTAATATATTTGCTTACATGTTTCTTTTTCCACCGTAATCTCAATTTTTTAAATTCTTTTCATTATATATTTTTTGTTTAATGTTCACGTGCTTTCTAGAATAAAAATGAAAAATTTTCTTTTGTGTAATATATATATTTTAATATAGTAATCTTACTCTTCGAAATTTTTTTAACCGAAAAGTTTCACTCAATAAATTGTATTATTAAAAAAGGCCAGATAAATCTTTTATATCCGAAAAAATTGTGAGAATCAGATTTTAAAAGCGAGATTTTTGTGCGATAAAAATTTAAAATAAACATGATAATCGTACACAAAAAGAACGGTTTTGAAGTATCTAAAAATTTAGCTCTGAAAATAATTTATTGAATCACCAAAATAATTATATATAGAACGTCCAAACTGGTTGATAGAATGTTAAAACTTTTTGCAACATACATAGCTCATGCTTGAAATTCCTACATAATTATTACATTGACCAAAAAGATCTTGTGTTTTATTTTTCAAGTGATTTTCAACACTCGATTTTAGATATTACAAGTTTTTCTGCGATATCTCGAGTGATTTAGTACGGATTATTTTTGATCAAGACTTTAATTTAATCATCGTGCACTGTACTTGGCCTACCAGAGCATGTGGCTCGTCTCCAACGAAGAAATTCTCAACTTGGAACATTGCAAATCAAGATTGGCACTCGCGATCTTTTATGTCATCTTTATTGTACACTGCACATTTCTTTTTTGCACATCGTTTTTTATTCATAGTAATATAACATAATAAAGTGAAAATGTATTAGGTGTTGGAATTAATTCGTAGCGTTTTACAAGTGATGGGAAGTACTTTCATTAATGTATTTTTTAATGCTCATGTGAAATAAATAACATTCTTTCATTAAAAACGCTACGAATTAATTCCAACACCTAATATTTTTTGATCTTTCACTTTATATAATATCATCTACTAACTAAAATAAGAAAACTTTTTGGCTAACCTAATATTTTGATGATTCAACAAAATTATTTTCAAATCTATATCTAGCTAAATTTTTAAATACTTAATCAAAAACTGTTCTTTCCATATAATTAGGACTGAACTGTATAACTGTATTTGAAATACTTTTATTTAAAATACATTATTTGCAATACAAATGTATTTTATATTTTGTATTTCAGCAGAGCTGAATATGAAAGTATTAAGTATTTTCTGTTTAAAATGTTGAATAAAGCAAAAGAAGAACTCGATTATTTTTATATTTTGTAATTCAAATAATGAGATTGATTGTTAAGCTTGGTATTTGAAATACAAACTATAAAATATTTTCATACTCCGCTGAAATATAAAATACAAAAACAATTGTCTTACAAATAGTGTATTTCAAATGAAAGTATTTAATTTGAAAAACACTATTTCATTTCAAATACATGTCCAGCTCTGTATACGTTGAGAATAGATCATTAGTTATACCAATATCAATTGTTGCAATTCCTAGCGTGTTTTAACACCTACGCGTATCAAAGTACATGCTCGTGAATCGAAATGGCATAACTATAAATTCCATTGTAATGATGTAATATGCCGTGTATAAGGTGATGATAATTAATGTGAAGGTCAGTTCCATTAATAAGACATATATTCTCATCATCATAAAGGCTCCTTGACATTCATTCTAATTATCATAACGACTGCGATATTGTTTTATGATAAAATCACTTTAACTTTATTATCTTTATTTAGAATATACCAGTTACAAAACTTTTAAAGAATTTCTTATAATGATTGTTCCACTTTTTACCACTGCAGATTTCGCGACCTCTATTTAATTTTTTATTTTTGGCTTACTTAGCTCATGTTACAAATTTACCAAGCTTTCAGCAAATGCATGGCGAATATAAGACATCTGAAGAATGTCGCGCTTACGAATTCCACAAAAATTTTGCACTGAAATTTTTTAATCTCAAATTCTACGGACATCTATCACAACTATTCAGTTTTCTACGTCTAATATTTAATGTTTAAACGTGAAACTTTATAATTATAATAATTATACTTTGGAAAGAAACAAATACATTCAGTCAAAATGTTAACTCGTTTTGATGAATTCTGATTCTTAACTTTTGTTATGTTAGATGTTATTTAATTACTACAGGTTAATGTTTTGAAATGAATCGAAGAAATATGTGAGCAATATCGAGTTTCGACACACCAATTTCTGTGAACTGGCTACTGCATACGTACTCGTCCTACTTGCATTAAGCTGATCCTCACGATTGAATTACATACGGTAATTGTGGGCCGGTACCGAACACGAAACCGAACGTGAATAAATGTGTAATTTTCTGGTCTTGGAGAAGTTCGAGCGTGCTCCATCCGAAAATGCGTATAAATTCCTCACAGTTGTTACACGAGAAAATAAAATAATTATTTTTTTTATCACGTTTAATTCTTTAGATCGCGTTAAGATGTTTTATTACCGTTGTTTTATTCTTTTGGAAATTGAAAATTAGATTTTGTTTTTCCAATTTAAGCGTTAACTTTTCTTCGAGAAAAGATGTTGGATGTTTTCTCTTTATATTCTTTATATCGATCGCACCGTCTATTTTCAGCTGTATCGCAAGTTTACAGAGAAACGTCAGATATGTGTAATGCGAATTAAGTGCTGTAATCGTGCGTGTTTGTTACGCGCAAAAACAAACGTTCAGCAGCGAGCGGAAATTAAGCAGAGGCGTATCCGGATTTCTCCTCATATAATCTACGAGACCGTCAAAAATGTGGTCGGTCGATCAAGGTTACCGCATTCCGCATACTGAAAAAAATTTTACTAAATTTTAATAAATATTCAGATAGTAATAGCTAAACGTTTACTTACAGTAAATAAACATTTACTTATTAAAAAAAATGGTACTTAAATCAAATGGCTTTCGTACTAAATAACTATCTTTATTTAGTAAGTATTTAATCAGTATTATTCAAACAAATATTTATTAAAATTTTTTTTTAAAAGAATTTTTTTTTAATACAAGGTATCCGCTGTGAAAGTTTATTCATAAAATAACCGTAAGATAATGTTGACGCCGATTGTGATGTGGCACTAAATGTAGCCTAGTCCGGGTTTCATTCTCACGGTGTGGCGCGAAGCCACGGACGTTTATTATTAGCGCGATGACGAATCCTGTCGCACAATACGTTTCGACAACAATCTATCGCTACCGCATATGTTTATCGCAATCATAAACCCCTTTTATGTAACTTGGAATTATGTAGGACATTGTAATCGTGTCATAACGATATCGTTGATTGCTGCCAAACTGATCAAATTCAGCCGGTCGATGTTAGCTTATCTACGATACGATCGTTTCGAGTTATACGGAAAAAGTGGAGTCCCTGCCATTCGGGGGATCAAAGCTTGACTGACGAGGAGGCTACTTCTGAAATACTGCTCGACGCACCGTTCCAATTCCCTCCGTTGATCTATTCTCGATCCGCACGCCTGACGGAAATGGGCTCCTCGGGGAATAGTTTGCTTTTGCCAAACAAAACGGCCACACGTCCTATATCCATGACGATATACGAATACCAGACTTCATGAGGAACAGTGCCCTTCTTATGTACATGCCTATGCATTCAACCCGAAAATTTTGTGTATTTTGCATCTGTATTAGTAGGTGCGATCGATGTTTGACGAATGAATATTGATAGAATTTAGGATTATTATTAGATAGAATAACTTCAGGATTGTTATTGCCAGGATATATCCCGAAATTGTTCTGTAAAACTCTTTTTTCTATCTAAGCGTTAATACATAATTTTATATGATAAATATATAATACATGGCTATTCTTTGATTTAATTATATTTGATTATATTTATTTATTATTTTATTATATTATATTTATTATATATTATTATATATATGTATAATCATATTTTTGGAAAGCAAGAGCCTTACAAGACAAGAAAGTTTGCTTTCTTTGAAAACAAAGTTTAAATTTCATTATACAATTATGTTGAAATTTAATTAGAAAATTGCAGTTTTAGTTACAACATCATTTCGAATTTAATTACTTAAAGTATTAAGCAAAATATTAAATTAAATAAAAGTCTACACTTTCACGAGTCCTTTTTTAACCTATCTTTACTCTATGAAATTTCTAGGCTTACAATACTATACTCTTTGCTCAATTAAATTTTTTTTACGATGATTTTTACACGTGTAAAGTATAGCTTTTATCGAGAACGGACATACGTATTTGTAGAGCGGAGAAACGGATGGAGCTGTACAATACGTCGGCATGAAATATATTTTGAAACATTTGAACTACATCGAAACCCTCTCGCGCTCTTGCGACCTCTCGATCGCCTGATATTCATTTTCGAATGTTTGCGGAGGTTTAGCCGCTCGCTCCTTACAGCACATTTACGCGCGCGAGCCGGCCGCGAGATCGCGAAACGCTCCAGACATTATTTTCACTGAAAGCATATACGAACGCCCGTCAAAACACACATCGTCGATACAATCGTCCATGCTGCGGGCGGCTACCATCGATTAGATTCGTCGACGAATTGCACGTCGACGTTCGAAGCGATCTCAAACGTAGGTTGGAACGTTATTTAACGAAATCCGTATCATTACAGCAGTAAGAAATCATATGAATATTTCAATAGAATCACTTATATCTGTCATGAAAAATATAAAGGCTTTTACACGAGTAAAATTTGACAATTAGAATACTGTAAATGTTGCGCTTAAATAACTAACAGATTTTTAAATCTAGAAATATATTTTTTAGTGTAGCGCTTGTATATCTTGTATATATTTGACGTATGTTTCGGCTAAATTTTAGTACTTGGCTAAATTCTTGTATTGGAGATTAACCAAAAACTACGTACGTGGATCATGCAGTGAAATACAAATCATCTGTTTTACGCTGAAGAAAGCTAGAATTTAGTCGAAACGTACGTCAAATAGATATGCAAGCGCTATACTGAAATATATATTTTTAAATTTAAGCGCAACATTTACAGCGCTGATTCCTATTTGCCCAATTTTACTCATTTATTTAATTATTATTGATGATAAGGAATCTAATTCTTTGAATTTTATGAAAGATTTACAAAAAAACTTTATCTGAATTTTATTTTGAAATATTATTAATTATATAATATCTGTTAGTAATAATTATTACAGAGCATACGATATATAATAAATGTAAGAAATTTTTTCTGTATCTTATTTCGAATTATTATTAATTATATAATGTTTGGTAGTATATAATAATTATTACAGATAACGCACAGTATACAATAATATAGGTACATGGGAAGAACAATTTTGCTGAAGTAACTAAAAATTTAGCTAGATACAGATCTCAAAATAATTACGTAGGAATATCAGAATATAATGAGCAAGAAGTCTTGATGTTGTAGCAACCAGAGTTTGAACGTCCTACACAATTATTTTGATAATCCAACAAAATTATTTTCAGCTGTGCATTTAGCTAAATTTTCAAACATTTTAGCAAAACCATTCTTTTCATTTAAGAAACATTATCTGTATTTTATTTCGAAGTATTATTAATTATATAATGTCTGTTAGTATAATAATTATTACAGAGTATACGCTATACAATAAGTATAAGAAACTTTATCTGTATTTTATTTCGAAGTACTATTAATTATATGTATAATGTTTGCGCTAGTAATAATTATTTACAGTACACGGTATATAACTTATCAATTAAAATCAAATCTACGTATAAATCAATACTTGTTCGAACTTTTTTTAAAAATTCATTGTTTACATCAATTATGAGCTAAAAATATTGCAAAAATATTTTAAAAATTCTCACTTGAATCATTCAAACACGATTAATTTTGCGAAACTTCTCCCACAAGTCACACGATAGAACTCACATTTTTGTGATAATCACTCACAATGTATTATCAATATACACGAAATTTCGAAGAACTAAAGTGTTGCTGGCAATTAAATATTACGGAACTGGTGTCAATGAGAAGAAATAGAAAAGATAAATTGGTCAATTAATTGAACTTGTCTCTAATTATTCTGCGGTCACGTAAGAAAGCCTCCGGCGTTTTAATGAAAGTCGCGCAGACATTTTGCTAAGATTAAGAGTATGCGGACTTGTGAAATCTCTTGGTTATCGCACATCTTCAAGGTTCGCCGAGATAAATGTAAAGCGAGCGCAATTGCCGCTGGGGATCGCAAGGCGTGCGGGCGCGCAGATCCGAGATGGTAGCACGTGCGATGACTATACTCGATCGGTGCATCGCGGTTTAACGACTTAATAGAGTTAATGACCGATGGATCGACTATCCTTAGAGGCCGGCCGGGGTAAACAAAAACGTGGGACGTGTTGCGTAAGCTAATTCACGTGAGAGCAGCCCGATGATCGGCCGTCGCCGATTGATTTCTCACGAGATTCAACGGCACGCATTAAGAGCCTCTCCCTTTCACCTCGCTGCCATAATTATCTGTCTCATTAGTCGTGATGGACGTAGGCATTTATATTCTCATAAGCTGATTTGCGTATTATAAGATATTCTGGAATCGATAGAAAAAAAAGAACATTTTTTTCTGAAAATCAACTTTTCCTTAATTAGAAAATATACAACAAGATTATTTTGTTATTATTTCATATTTGTACATCTTAAATTGAAAATCTCAAATTAAAATTTTATATTTAAATTTACTCTGAATTTTTTGTTAAGATATAAATAATTTTATTTTATTACCTGTTTTCGCAAATATCAGCGAGCTTTTTTTTTTTATTATAAAACTATAAATATTTTGATGTCAAAACTATTACTGTTTTATCAGAAGTCGATTAATTTTATAAGAAATTATTATTAGCTATTTCTTAGCTAATTTTGATTAGATATTTTATACAAGCACTATCTTTCTATATTTATACATACCTAAGTATATATTATATAATATTTAACAGACTTACATCATAGTTACATTATTTAAAGTTAATTATGGCAGTCAAGGGTTAAACCTTGCGAAACAAATCACTGTGAAACACTGTGAATACAGTCGAGCTAGTCGTCATGTAATTTACACCCCTCACGAGCGGCGACCGAGGTAACACTTAATGCGCCCCTTTATAAGAGAACGGGTACGCGGTAGATCGTAACAGACGACACGAGCGTTAGGGCGGTAAGTGGTAAGTGAAGTTCCGTAATTTGTTGAGACCACGCTACTCGTTTCGGGTTTCATCGCTCGTGACACCGCAGGAAAAACGGCGAGAAACCGCTTAAAAGAGGAGAGTAATGAAAGATAAGAGACATCGATGAATCGGGTAGAGAAAAAGATTTCGATTCTATTACCGCTAAAAAAGAGAAAACGAAATTTAGACGAATTTGTATTTGTCATCGTTCGAACTAAATGCTAATGTAAGTAAAGATATAATTGTCGCAATTAAGGAAGAGAAAACTTATATAATAAATTTCTTTTATTAGTAATAAAAGAGACAAATTATGCAATTTTTACAGAAACATGAAACCATGTATGTAAACATTACGGTGAAATTGGAGATAGATCAGTATGTAATTAAATTATCTCTGTTTAAATATCGAAATAAGATAACTTTCAATATTAATTTATTAAACCTTACTTTAAATTTATTATTAAAATAATGAGAGGAGTAATATAGTAATATTAATACTTTATTACTTTTACTTTTAATAAGAGCTATTTGACAACCTATATACCAAGAAAATTCTATTTTTCGTTCGAAAAAGAGTAATATGATGTGCACATATAACGAAAATAACGATCTAATGGAGGAAATTTAATTTTCTTTTTAATTTTACCTCGATCCTTTTCCAACGATTCCACGACTTAACTTATTAATACAAAATTCTTTATGTTCTGTCAAGAATTTTGTAATAAATTAATGTTAATAACCTAATATACGTTCGCTTATAAATGCAAGTGAATGTGTTATCCTCGTATTTGTCACTAAAATAATATACTTAAAGCGGATAATTTAAAATCATTCTTACACTGTTATTTTTCAAATAAATAATATTCTTTTGTTCAATATCCTTTTCCTCAAATTAGGTGCAATTTATTGACGTTATAAATTTAACAGTGTACGAGAATTCACGAAGTATCAAGCATGTAGATAACTATAATAGACTAATCAATTTTTATTTACGATATTTATATCGATTCACAATGAACATTTTGCAATTATTGGCGTTACACGCTGAGGATTTGCCGGTATAAGAATTGATAAGAAGGGACAGGACTTCCACAGGAATTGTATGGAAGAATTGATATCTCGCCATTCGAAATCCTCCTCGCGGAGGGGTTGTCCGTGAGATTAGTTCTCCCTGAAAACTAGTTAATGCGCTTTTTCCGGTGTCGAGGGGTTGACGTGCGAGTGGCAGACCGCAGCCCGCGGCTTCGTTGGCCGCGTTGTGAGAATCGGACGTCGCGTTCTCCTCGGGAAATCGGACCGAGATGATTTCCGCAATTTCGCGGCCGTGGCCAAGAGAGGATTGTGGTATTTGACCGAGTCGGAATTACTCGGCTGTGTCCCA